TCAAGCAAGAAAAAAAAAAAAAAAGAATTCTGAAATTTTTAGGCCATGGTCTGTTTATCTTATTTTCACTTATTTCAAGATAAATAAGTTCAGATAAGTTGTGATAAGAAATTAATTAGGGCTACCCAAATTCAATTTATAACTAAAATAAGTTCTAATAAAAGCTAATAAGGCCCTATTCAGTTCACCTTATTTCTACTTATTTCAAGAAAAATAAGTTCATATAAGGGTTAATAAGTTCAGATAAGTTGTGATAAGGGTTAATAAGGGTTATCCAAATTCAATTTATAACTAAAATAAGTTTTAATAAAGGATAATAAGTTCAGATAAGATCAGATTAGTTTAGATAAGTTCAGATAAGTAAAAATCAGGTGAACAAAACGCACCCTTAAGTTTGGATAAATTCAGATAAGATCAAATTAGTTCAGATAAGATCAGATAAGTTTTGAAAAGTAAAAATCAGGTGAATAGAACGCACCATTTAGTAAGACTAATTTGGTCAGAATGGAGGACTAATTGAAGGTTTAATTATTTTTATAGGTGTTATGGCTCAATTCAATTAGTTATGTAGCACAATGAGGCAAGGTTGAATTGACACTTGAGCAAAGTCTTATGTACTGAGTTTTTCTTTTCAACTCCTTTTGCTTTTGATTAGGCTAGAATGTTGCAAATAGTTTCTTATTGTAGATTGTTGATGATTTTTATATTACTGGTGGTACCCTAGTACGTACCAATGGTACCCTCAGCTCATCGATGACAAGTGCACTGTACTTACGTTTTTACTCAATGATGTATGTATTTCAATTGTACCCTACGATATTCTAATGGAAACCTTTTAATATGCAGTGGTACTAATGTGACACTAAAGGGTATTTAGTTCTTATCTATCAATTGCTCTTGTATTTAATGGTACCCTTATGTAATCTAGTGGTAGCCTTCTGTGATTTAATGGTACCCTTTTGTGTGGAAAAATCTATAATGAGTAATCAAATGATAATTACATAAATAAATTGTAACATTTATGAGTAATCAAATGGCATTAATTCATTTTATTCTAGGCAAAAAAGTAACTCAAAAATAGTGATTGAATAGTAGAGGTGTCAAATTGGGTACCCAGATGGAGTTTGGGTCGGGTAATGACGAGTCATTTTATTCTAACAAACCAAATCAAGTCGGGTCAAGCTTAATTATACTCGAGTCAAAATTGGGTCAATGCATAGTCAGGTACAAATCGAATTCGGGACAAGTCGAATTCAAGTCGAGTCACATCGAGTTCAAGTGAGCTCGGATTCGGTATTAATTGTGTTCATTTGGGTCAAAATGGATTTAATAGACTTTGAATTAGATCATTTTGGATTCGGTTAGATCTCTGTTCAAATCAATTCAGTTTCAATTAGATCTCAGTTCAAATCAATTCAGTTTCAATTAGATCTCAGTTCAAATCAATCATGTAATTTTAAACTCATTATAGAGCTATTTTCTATACAAGTATTTTATTATCTTTCTAGTATTTTCCGAGTATATATGGTTTCGGTTAGATATCATTACAGGTTAAATCAAATCCAGGTCTTGAATTGTGGGGTTTTATTGGTTTAGGATAATAATGAGTCGATACCAAGTTGGGTTTGGATTGTAAATTTCAATGCAAAATCGATTTCGAGTTAGCTTTGGGTTGATTTCAGTTCGGATTTAGATGAAAAAATTTCGAGTCCAACCAGTTCAAAAACAGTTGGGTACTTTTGTTTTACTCAATGATATATGTGTTTCAGTTGTACCCTACGATATTATAATGGAACTCTTATAATGTGTAGTGGTACTAATGTGACATTAAAGGGTACTTAGTTCTTATCTACCGTTTGCTCTTATATTTTGAATAAAAGTTTAATCAAATATAATATCAGTAGTACCCTTCTATGATTTAATGGTACCCTTATGTATGGAAAAAGCTATATGAGTAATCAAATGATGTATTACATAAATAAATCATTACATTTATGAGTAATCAAATGGCATTTATTCATTTTGTTCTAGGTAAAAAAAAGTAACTCAAAAATAGAGATTGAATAGTGCATAATTAGTCAAAGCGATTTTTCAAGGAAGCGATCATGATATTTTTTTTTACTTCCTCCATATTTACATAAATGAAATATTTTGACATTTTGCATTATTAATCTAATTCACTATGAGTAATATGTGTGATTATACATAAAAATAAATATAGTCATGTGGGTGCTTGTTGAAATCGTCTAAATGAATATTTATTAATATTCAGCTGTTATAATTTTTACTCATTGATTATTAAAAATATTTTCAGTCAAAGTTTTGCATTGGCATGGTGTACAAGGATAATGTTCCACTTAAACATTGTAGGGTCCCACTGAAACAAATTAGGGTATGACTATATATATAGGGTGAATTGCATGGTAACACTTACACAATGAAGGATCCACTAAAACATTGGTTCCACTAAAATAATGTAGTGTGATGAAGGGTAGAACTCTTTTATTATGTTTGCAGGGTTATACTTGTACAATGAAGGGTTCTACTACTAAAATAATGTAGGGTTCTAATGAAACAATGAAGGGTATAATTCTTTGATTATGTTTAGAGTACATTTAATTATTGTACCCATTAGCAAGTGTGATATGATTATGTTTTTGTGGGTAAGAAGTTAAAACTAGTAAATATCTTAAGAATATTGATATAGTTTGTATTAAACATGGAAAATAAAAATATCTTAAGGATATTGAGAGAAGGAACAAACATGTTATTTGTGTTTGGACACATCAAGCTTGATATGAAAATCTGTTAGATTAGATTTTACAAGTAATTATCTATTGATCTATTTTGTTGATTGGAATATTAAAGATTTACGTTAATTACAAAGTTCATGAAAAAAAAATGTTAAACTTGAAGATATTGAACATTATTCATTTGGTATTGTTGATTATTTTTTGGTTTTGGATCAACTTAAAAAGGAATGAAGGGTACAAATCTATACCCTAAATTAGAAGGGTTCCACTAAAGTATAGGAAGGTTCCTTTGAAACAACCAAGGGTACAACTCTTTACACTTAATTGGAAGGGATCCACTAAATTATCATAAGGGTTCTCCTGTTTAGACTATAAATTGAAGGGATCCACTAAATTATTGGAGGGTTCTACTGAAACACTGTAAGGTTCTATTGAAACAATGAAGGGTGCAACTCCTTATATTGAATTAGAAGGGTTCCATTAGATTAAAGTAAGGTTCTACTAAAAACACCATAGGGTTCCATTGAAACAGTCAAGGGTACAACTGTATAGACTGCTTTAGATGCGGTTTCTAGCTAAGCGGTCTCTTGGCAAAGAGACTACTTTATTAGAGGCCTTCTCCAAAATAAAAAAATAAGAACTGAGACTGCTTGTTTAAGATAGACAATCCCATTTTTTAGAAAACTAAGACTGCCTAATTATGATAAGGAGTCAATTTTTTCAGAAAATGGAGGCCGCCTAATTAAGATAGGCAATTTCTTTTAGAAAGTTGGGATAGCCTATTTAACTTAACGAGTCTTTTTGGTCTCAACTTTGCTGATTTAATCTAAATTTTGCAAAAATTAAATTATTTAATAAAAAAAAAACACAATTCATCCTTATAATTTAATTAACATTTATACATGTAATATATACTCCCTCCGTTTTTTAAATACTTGCTTCATTTCTCCATGCGCGGAGTTTTAGGAGAAATTAGAGAAAGTAATAAAATATGGAGATAGTGGGGTTGGTGGAAGAATAAAAAATTATAGAAAGCAAAAGTAGTGGAGAGAATTGGAGGAGAAAGAATATATGTTGGGACCACTAGGTGAGAGAAATTGATTAAATATTGTAAAAGCTTTCCAAATAAGGAAATGGAGCAAGTATTTAAAAACGACCGCAAATGAAAAGTGGAACAAGTATTTAAAAACGGAGGGAGTCATATTTAGATTACATAGATTTATACTTCTAAAATTCATCTCCTCCAAACCCTTCCCTTTTCCCATTTCAACAACCCTTTTCAACTTGTGCTCACTGGCAACCCCCTTCCAATTTTAGCAGCCCCTTCACCTTATGCTCATCGATGTCTCCCTTCTAATGTACATGGACTTTAGAGCTAGGCTGCAAAAAGCATCAGACAAAAAAAATTAAAACTAATAGCACAATAAGATGATCTAAATGCATTATTCATTGACACATTATCACTCGTCTACATTAACCAAGAAAGAATCATTCAAATTACAACAAACTAATTTAATTAATAAATCTTAAGAACTGAGAAAAGACAATAAATAAGAGAATACCTTCCTAGAAAGCACATCGACATAACATGAGAAATGGTATCTTGTGTAAATATCATTGGCATATTCGTCTTGAACTAGAGAAGGCTCCAGCTTTTCCACGGCATAATCATACTTATAAATAGGTTCTTGTTCAACAGTCCAGCCATGCTGCTTCTCAAATTATTCTCTTTCAAAATGGAGCACTTTCACAGCATATGCCACACCACTTGTTAATGGTTGTTCGAAAGCAGTTCTTTCAATGTATCTTGCACAAGTTTTATGTTCAATATTCACCTTAGTTAGGAACTAATTGTCTAATACTAGCCATAAACTATAATAGCATACTATCATACTTAACCTAAATGAACAAAGACCATATCCAGATTAACAAAGAAGAAACAAATATAAAAGCTCTAAGGCAGTGTGAGCTATTCCACAACCACAAAACAAACTCTTTAGGATGATCTATCCCACTCACCTGCATAGTTCAATTTTTTTTTTTCATCATTTACTAATCTGTTAACTTTGAAATATACGAGAATTTGTATTCATTCTATCTATTCATCTAGGCTACCCAAGTGAAAAGCTTTCCCTTCCAAGTCCATCTTAGTATCTAACTACTTAATACCAACAATTTCAGATAGAATCCGACACAAACAAACACAAAATCCAAAGGCCATTAGCTCTGCTGACAGCAGAAGTACAATTTCAGACCCATCAAAAATATTATTTTCAGGAAGCATAATATACTGCAAAAATTCTCAATAATTTGCCCACATTCATGATAAATACACTCATAATTCCTAATTTCCTACTCATAACACAATCATTTAGGGAAAAAACTGAGTCAGAGATGCAAGGAATTACAAAATCATCAAATATTAGTAATAAATTATAATTCATTGAAATCTACACCTGATCAATAGCAGATGGATACTTTCCATGATGAAAAGTGGAAATTAATATGGATCTAACTTGAATATGATTCATAACATTAAATTGATCTTGTAACATCCTAGCCCTTTCATCACACATACTAGCAAGTCTTTCTTTTCTTTTTTCAACAGCATATGAACTCATGAACCAAAAAACCCCAAAACAAAATATGATCCAAAATACCATCTCAAAACCCCTGTTAATCTCAGCTTAGTACAATGAATACATACCTACAAACCCTGCAGAAATTTTCGACTACCCATATAAAAATAATATAAAATAATCCCCAAATCAAACTAAAAAAATTTAAAGCAACCACGCTACAGAAAGGTCTAAGATCTCTTAGCTATATCTGCATTGGCTATCAATCGTTCATTCAGTTAAGTTGATAATTCTCAAACAAGGCACCATACATTATCACTACCTTCACATCAAGAATCAGATAATAGAACAATCTTAGCAATGCCAAACAAGAAACTCTCAAATTTGTATGACATTCAAAAAAAAAAAAAAAAAAAAAAAGCGCTTCTCTTGAAATTAAAAGAAATGAGATTTCCAAAATCTGATTTAGCATAATAAAAAATTAACTGTGAAAATCAAATCAAAAGTTTAGCGATGCTAAGGTTTGCAATTTTTTATAAAACCTAACTCGATTTTGGGGATAATTTATATTGCGTTAGAATCATAAAATTGTAAAAATTTCTTAAACCCTAAATTATAAATTCAATAACACTTTACTTACCTCAATTCGACGCCTACTATGCTCCAATCTTCAACATAAAACGGAGCGATTATGCGAGCGAGTTAGTGATTTTCCAGATCTCCAAAGGCTAGAGGAAGAGATAGACGATGGAGGGAGAGAGAGACTAAGACAGGAAGATGCAGGAGAGAGAGAGAGCACTTGAGTGGAATTAATCAAATGGAATGGAACACTATACGATATACGAGTACAAAGTTAAAATTCTATACAATCCGTCCCAAATACGAAGATAGAAATACAATAAAAAAGCCTAACGGGGTACTGTTTCACTGACAAAATGCTAAACGGGTACTGAGGTGGAATTCCACTCACCAATTCAAAAATTCAGCAAATTTACATCCTTGCCCCTCGTTATGCATTTCTTCGTGCATAAAGAAACTGCATTTGGACAACCTCTACAACAACTATATGGTTTGTAAAAAAGAATGTACTCGCTCGAATTTAAAATACTTGCTCCATTCCTCCATGCGCGGAATTTTAGGAGAAATTAGAAAAGTAATAAACTATATGAAGGAAGCGGGATAAGGGGGAAGAATAAAAAATTATAAAAAGCAAAAGTGATTTAGAGAAATAGAGGAGAGATAATATGAAATATATAAAATATGATTTATGTTGGATTCACTAGGTGAGAGAAATAAATTAAGTATTGTAAAAGATTTTCAAATAAGAAAATAGAGCAAGTATTTAAAAACAACTAGAAAAGGAAAGTGGAGCAAATATTTAAAAACGGAGGGAGTATAAAAGAAGCATTATGAATTTATGATTGATTCTCTCTTACAAATGAAATTGATCATTCCCTATGTCCTTTTATTAAAGCCCACTATTCCTTTTTATGGAAAATCACAATTAAAGTCCCATTGATAGAATTATCCTCATTTTTTAGTAAGTGATTTTTTTACAATTTTAACCTCATTCTCCTAATTTAATCCCTAAATTATTCTCATTTTTTATACTGAGTTTTTGTGCCATATATTTTTGGCGTTTATTAATCCAACAACATATGTTCTCTCTCCTTCTTCTTCTTCTTCTTCTTCTTCTTCTTCTTCTTCTTCTTCTTCTTCTTCTTTCTAGATACTTCTTCTTCTATTTGGGATTTATTAACCTCTTTTTTCTTTTTCTCTCACTTGTTATTTGATGCACTTAATGTACTTTGATAATTCCATTCACATGGTTTAAGGAATTTACAAAAACCTTAACTCCCGTGAAAAATGAGAAATGAGACTCTAATAAAAGGACGGAGGGTGTATTTTTTTTTTTTTAGAAAAATAATCATAGATATTTATTATGATAATAAGAATTTAGGTCACATTAGTTTATACTTACCATGCATATGATAATTTTTTATGAATAAAAACAAGAATTTAGCTATAGTGGTTTATATGTACCACACATGGTAATTTTATCTCAAAAAAAAAAAATTTAGAGCTAATGGTAGTTGAACCGCTGACTAAAGAGTACATTAACCTCATCAACTTATTCTAACCACCAAGACATACAGAGATACTCATGCATGATTATAATTGCATCTCTAAATTTAATATAAATGTACTCTTAAACTTAAAGTTAAAAATGCCTGTAGAGCTTGGGTAGGTGCCTCAGTTGCCCCCTTGCTCAGCGACGAGCCTGTGAGCTTGTATGAGTGTACCTTCCTAAAAGATGATGGTATGAGGGATGTTTCTCTGGACGATAAAAAACATACGCCAAACTAATTATAATTGAGTAATATAAAAAACATTTCATATACAGATAAAAATGTATGAGGTATCAATAATTATCTGTAGACATCTACTTTTGGTCCCCTATCCCGACCGAAGGTGTACTGTTATGACAATAAATAATTCCATCTTGTGCTGGATTGGAGTTAGGAATGCCAATGGACTACATATTGAAGCCTAAACACATAAAACAGGCAGACTAGCTCAACCCAAACGAAATGAACTAAAAAATCTCAATAATACTAAGCCCGGTAAAAAAGTAGGCCTAACCCAAAATTTAAACCTAAGTTCAAACGGATTTAGAGTGCCCATGTTAAAATTTAGGGTTTCCATAGGAAAATCCGTGCGCAACTCATGAAGTCACGCTCGACAGCCGCGTGCAATTTATACAGTTGTGTGTAGCAGCCCAGCGCAACCGTTAGTGTCACGCTTGCGAAGATTTAGAATTTCTGAAATATACTAAATCGAATCTTACCATACAGCCACGCGCAAGATTAGATGTCACGCTAGCCTAAGCACCGCAACTCCCCTACTTGCGCGCGGAAGCCACGCACAACTTCTAGAGTTTTGTGCGCCATTTGCTACGACAAAATATCCGAAATCCTAATCTTAACCATTCCCTATAAATAGAGTTTTAATATGAGCGGTTTGACACTACCCATTTTAGTTCATCCTTATGGTGGAGATTCCTGAATACGAAGGTGAATTCATGCAATAATCATACCCTCTTGTCTCAAACACTCACCTCTTCTATAGTTCGTTCTTACGGTGGAGGTTTCCAAACAAGAAGGTGCCCATTTGCTTTCTAAACGAAGATCTAGCAAGGAAAAGTGGATAATAAATAAGCCACCTCAAAAACCCTACCGCAGCAATTTTCATGGTTAAAAAATAACACGTAAATCGAGATATTTTTCGACACACAAAATGGGGCATTTGGAAAATTGTCGGGAACTACCCCCTAATAGGTCATTTTGTCAACAATTACTCACTTAAATTTTAATAAATAAAAAAATACCCATAAATTTAAAAAAGTTTGAGTAGCACTACTCATTTTAGTTTTCAATCAACAAAATCCCGAAAGTGTGGTCCAATTTTATTTTTTTCCTCCAAAAAGTAAGCCTAAACCTCGTACACAACGATTCAACCTAAAAACACAAAATTTTCAAAATTTCACCAATTGAAGAAAGGGAAAGTAATTGTGCTTTTAATTAAGATATATCATATATGTAATTATAGGCGTCATTCGAAGCGCACCTACGTTAAGCATCTGTGAATATGCTTGGTACTCATAGGAAGTGGGAATTTACGTTATACAGTTAGGGACACAATTAGGGACAAAACAAAGTAGGGAGCCGTCAATAAGTTTTTAAGGAACTTATAAACCGTTCACGGATCATTAAAGGCAACCACGAATAAGGGACAACAAAAGGCAACAACGATTAACCCGTGAAGGTTATACCCCATTCATAATCCATGAGATTACTAACTCCATATGGTTTGGAACCACGAAAGGAGGATCGAGAATGATAGTACGAAGTGAGTCATGGAGTCACATTCGCCCGTATTGGCCTCTACTCGATTCTTATAGTGAAAAGTATTATTCCTGCGATCTCAAAGGCATGCAATCAAAGATTCAATTTGCTCCAAACTATTATTAGGCTAAATTGGTTGAATATTAATGCAACATATAATTCTAAAATATTGTGATCACTTTAATTAAACAGCAAGATTAAAAAGGAACCTAAACCGGTTGTCCAAATTATCTTAATAGGCATTATTTTCAATTACATATTCCCTTTGAACATGCAATATGGTGATCAACAATAAAAAAAATAGAATAAACGTCAACATTGGAAGCAATTTAACAATAAATTGTTAGTCAAATCAAATAATAATAAACCTAAGGAAAATTTGTCAATTACTACCGGGTATTAAAGCCACTTTGAAAATTACTACCGCGAAATAAAAGACTTGTGACTTACTACCGTAAAAAAATTTTAAAAAAATTATTTTACTACCAACCTCCACTTTAAGTCCTTAATGACGTCAAACCAAACCCATTGTTAAACAATTTAACCACCAAAAAAATGAAAAATAAAAATAATCTAACCCATGGTTAACTAACCCCCCTAACTAACTTAACCAAACCTCCCTGTAGGAAATATTTCAAGCATCCCACACTTGAGCCCCACTGTTATCATACACTTAAGCATGATGGCGTCCAAAGGGAAGAAAGCTAGAGTAAAATTAAAGAGTCACCAACAAGTTTTAGGAACATGTAAACCATTTATAGAGTGAAGGTTACACCCCTTCACAATCCATGAGATCGCTAACTCCATAGTGGTCTGGAACCATTATGACTGGATATCCGGGGATGAAGGTACAAATTCAACCTAAAAGAGATTGAACATGCCCTAAAAATAGGCATCTACTTTATTCTTCTCATATTCATGTGCACTTTCTGACTAACATACAATCAATATATTAATCCTAAACCCGTTTAACTATGTTGGTTGAATATTAATGCACAAACAAAACTATTATTGGCGATCACTTGAATTATAATCATATTAGTCTAAACAAGATTATTAATTATCTTATTAAGCGTGATTACAAGTACAAATTCTCTTTAAACATGTATAAAAAGCGTGATCAAGCAATAAAAATAATAATATATATCAAGCAACAATAATAACAACAAATCATCATCACAATAATAATATTCTCAAAGCGTAATAATAATAGCAAGATCCTAGGTGATTAGGGGATTTTTATCCACCAATCGCCGTCTGACAAGTGGACCAACCAGGTTCCTCCATGTGTCCTTCACGTGGGCCAATAGGAGCCTGCCACGTGTCAGTCACAGATATGTCCTCTACGGACCAATTGAGACACGCCACGTGTCCACCCATGCCAAATGGGAAAACCGGCCACCAAGGCCCAATCCTGTTATGAGGCCCAGTCAGCCCTAGGTTTACCCTAAACCTAGAGACTGGCACGCTTCTCGAGGATATAAATACCTCTCTTAATCCTCATTAAGAAGAGAGAGAACTCGAATAACAGAGATTACATACATTAAACACTCTCACCTAGAGAGACCGAATCACTTTAAATTCCGCACTTATTACTCCTCAAACAAGTACTAACTTGACCGTTGGAGGCGGAGCTCCTACCACAAGGAGTCTTCGTTGTTTTGCAGGTACAGGCGTCCGGTTCCAGTCTCGGTGTTGTAACTCTCCCGCAGGACATCAGAAAACCCCGAAACATTTTGGCGCCGTCTGTGGGGAGAGTACTTCTGAGATGGCATCCACGTTTGTACCGACTCCTGAAGAGAGGCGTCCCCTAGACGACCCTCAAGTTCAGTCGGACCACGATTCTGAGAATGAATTTGAAGTTGAAACTCACACAGCTTCAGACGGGACCCTAAGGGCCCGACGTACCCGTCCTACCGGAAGGAGGGAGCGGGAACATCTT